CCAGACATATCTGCCCTGGGAGACGATTTTGTCTGTTATTCAATTGGCCTTCCGCGAGCGATGTTTGGGCTGGTATTTATTGTTTTTATGTAGTAATTCATTGTTTTAATTTTTCTCCTGTTTAATTCGGTTTTAAGGGGTTGGGAGGTGGGACTTAGGGTTTGGGGTTGCTTTTACATTGTTTAGTTTTTAACTGTTGTAACCCGCCTCGATTGTTGGGCAGAGAGGCGGGCTATAAATAAAAATTATTATTATTATTATTATTAGTTTGGCACCACTTTAATTGCTATGTAATTCTCAGAATCATAGTTTGTTGTAGCACTAGAGTTCTTTGCCAGAAAAGGCTAAATGTCTTACAAAGGGGGGTTGCAGACTGCCAGAAATAGTACAAATTGAGTCCGCTTTTAGGGTTAGGGTTAGGGTTAGGGAATCATGGGGACTGTAGTTTATTGTGGCACCAGAGTTCTCTGACAGAGAAGGCTCAATGTCCCAGAAAGAAAACAATTCCCATGATTCCCTAGCACTAACCCTAACCCTAAAAGTGGACTCAATTTGCACTATTTCTGGCAGTCTGCAACCCCCCAAAGCTACAGTTCCCAGAATTCCATAGCACTGAACCATGGCATTTAAAGTGGTGCCTAACTGGATTATTTCTGCAGTGCAGATGCAGCCCCAGTCACATTCCTTTTCCAAATATCCACCTATACAAGGTGGTTGGCTGGACTGGCCCAAGGCTCTGTGACATTCCTAAGTGTTGTAATTTACTGGGAGTGGAGAAAAGCTATTTGTGTAATTAGCAGTCCAGAGGTCAAAAAGCAGAGGAACAGTCAGTAGCTAGGAAAACCAGGATAGGCATAGGGATCTACAAAAGAGTAGTCAGGGTCCAGTTCCAAAGATCCAGAAAAGGTCCAGAGGAGAGCCTCTAAACCTGCTTGGATGTTTTTCCCACCTGGGAGGAACAGGTATCTGGCTGACACATATTTGCTGCCTGCCTTATCTAGGCAGGCTGATTGTTCAGTGAGAATGGCTGAGGCAGCACCAGCTGAGTTGCAGGTGTGCCAAGCCCTTTCTGAAACATTCCTGTACTTTTGTTCTCCCAGAGGGAAGCGCAATACTATCTGGTCTTGCTTCCAAATACCCATATGACCAAATGGGACACACATCCCCCTCCCATGCCATGCTTATTACAGTCAGCCCTCCACATCCATGGTTTTGAATAACCCCATGCCATGCTTATTACAGTCAGCCCTCCATATCTATGGATTCAACCATCCATGGCTTGAAAATATTCCAAAAAGATATAAATTCCAAAAAGCAAATTTCATTTTTGTCGTTTTATTTATAAAGGTAAAAGTAAAGGTATTCCCCATTGGCAAGGTTGTCAAGTTGTGTCCGATCTTAGGGGGTGGTGCTCATCTCCGTTACTAAGCCGAAGAGCCAGCATTGTCAGAGACTACTCTGTGATCATGGGGCTAGCATGATTGCACAGAATGCTGTTTTCCTTCCCACCAAAGTGGTACCTATTTTTCTACTTGCATTTGGATGCTTTCGAACTGCTAGGTTGGCAGAAGCTGGGACTAGTGACAGGAACTGACCCATCATACAGTACCCAGGCCTCATACTGCCAAGCTGCTAATCTTGCAATTAACAGAGTCAGCGTCTTAACCACTTGAGCCACTGCATCCCCAATTTATTTATATAAGGGACACCATTTTACTATGCCATTGTATTTAATGGGACTTGAGCATCCACAGATGTTGGTATCCATGGGAGATCCTGGAACCAAACCCCAGTGGATACCAAGGGCCCACTGTAATTCCATTGAATAAATATTGGCTTAAAACTCAA